GGCCGGCCCCACCTAGCGACCGCCCGGCCCCTATGGGTCCCACCTGTCATCCTCCTTGCTATGTCGGTTCTCCATCTCCTTCTAGGTTGTATCTACGCAGTTTATTCAAGTCGGTTTGATTCGAGGGTCCAGGATAATTCAATGGGGCTATATATACCTGCCTACACCCCCTCAGGAAATTAAACCAAGTCAGATCCTGAGAGCTGAGAAGCCAGAAACCCTAATTCATATGTCCACTAGGATCAGAGCTAGCAATCAAGAGAAGATTAGTCATTCATAGGATATAGTCTTGTATTAGAGATAGTGAGATAGAGTGAGAGAGAAGAGTTTCGGAGGAGTCCTGGCCTGTCGGTGCTCTCTCTATGGCTTGTACCCTAGCGGAATCAAGTTCTTCTTGAGCTTGGTTCTAAGATTTCTCTGGTAATCGACTTCTAATTCAAGTAAGCATCTTGTTCATATTGTTCTTCAAGTTTGCGTCTCTCTGTTGAGTCCTTTAATCCTTATAGCTCCTGGGTTAAAGTAGTATTCGTAGTATAAGCGTGGTGCTTAGACTCGGTTACTCGTGGATGTACCCTACTTTCCAGATCGGTGGTAGCTCACGAGGGTGACTCTTATAGCCTCGTTTAATCCTCTGTAGTCCACCTCCCGTTAATAGGCCTATCAGGGCTTTATTACTATAAGAAACATAGTTTGCCTATGTTTTCTCTAGTAATATCTCCAGAATTGAACAATAGAAGACAAATCTTATCAAAATTAGAACTAGAAGACTTTAGTAGTCTCCTCTATGCTCTTATTATCTAGCCTTGATTATGAAGTTCGGTTAAGTTAGATTTGATTATTCTCACACACGTTTCCTCGAGTTCGATATAAAACTGGGTACTCCCGATAAAGTGCTACATCGGTATAATATCCATGCGTTTGTGGATTATTCTGTGTGCATTAATTTATACCAACAAAGCCCGAAAAGCCCAACAAATTAAAAAAATTTAATTTCAAAATATGAGAACTTCGAATTAAATTTCAGGATACTAAATGAACTCATGTGAAAAAGTTGTCAAAAATAAAGTTGTAGAACTCATCGGGATCTACCACTTTTGTTTTGGTCATTTCTTCATCCGAGTTTGATTGAACTATATAAAATTTGAATTTTAAAATATGAAAAATTCAAATAGAATTTTTGGGTAGTAAATGATTTCAAATAGAAAAATTGTCAACAACAAAATTGTATAACGCATCGAGATGTACCACTTTTATTTTGATCATTTTTTCATATGACTTTGTTTGAACAGTTTGAATTTTAATTTCAAAATATTACAACTTCAAACAACATTTTCAAATACTCAATGATTTTAGCTGAAAAAGTCATCAACAACAAAGTTATAGAACCCATCAAGATCTACAACTTTTATTTTGGTCATTTCTCCATATAGTAAAGTAGTAGTATACATTGTTCACAAATTAACATATCTCTCATATAGTTTCATAAACTATATGAGAGATATGTCAATTTGTGACAATGTATAATAGCAATTTGTCTGATGAAGAAATGACTAAAATAAAAGTTGTAGATTTTGATGAGTTCTACAACTTGTATTTTTATGAATTTTTAAGTTAAAATCATTTACTTATTCAAAATATTGTTTAAAGTTGTTAATTTTTGAAATTCAAATATTCAATTGTTCAAACAAAGCCACATAAAAAGATAACCGAAATAATAGCTGTAAGAACACATTAAATTGATAGAACATAGTTTTAGAAAATTTTAGAAAAAAATTCATCACATTTGATGTTAGTATGAGGGAGAAAGGCCAGTGACAAGTTTTAGCCTCTGGCTCAAACTTGTAACTAGTCTTTCTCCCACATACTAACTTCAAATGTGATGATTTTTTTTTCTAAAATTTTCTAAAATCATGCTCTATTAAGTTATTTTGGTAATCTTTTCATGTGATTTTGTTTGAAAAAAATCAAAATTTGAATTTAAAAAAATATCAACTTGAAACAATATATTGAGAGTATATGATTTTAACTTAAAAAGTCATAAACATAAAAGTTCTAGAATTCATTAAGATCTATAACTTCTATTTTGGTCATTTTTCCATCTGACTTTTTTTTGAGTAATTCAACATTTGAATTTCAAAATATAAGAAATTTGAACAGAATTTTGGCGTAGTAAATTATCTTAAATAAAAAAGTAGTCAACTACAAAGTTATCGAATTCACCTAGATGTACAACTTTCGTTTTGGTCATTTCTCCATATGAGATAGTTTGAACAATTTGAAAATTTGAATTTCAAAATCTAACAACTTCAAACAGAATTTTGAGGTAGTAAATGATTTCAAATGAAAAATTCATCAACGTCAAAGTTGTAGAACTCATGGAGATATACAACTTCTATTTTGATAATTTCTCCATCCGACATTGTTTAGACAATTTAAAATTTGAATTTCAAAATATAAGAACTTCAAACAGAATTTGAGGATACTAAATGACTTCAAATGAAAAAGTAGTAAACAAAAAAGTTGTAGGACTCATCGAGATATACAACTTTTGTTTTGGTTATTTCTCCATCCGAGTTCGTTTGTGTAATTCGAAATTTAAATTTCCAAATACGAGAACTTTAAAAAGAATTTTAGGATAGTAACTAATTTCAAATGAAAACATCGTTAACAATAAGGTTGTAGAACTCATCGAGATCTATAATTTTTATTTTAGTCATTTTTCCATCCGACTTTGTTTAACAATTCGAAGTAAATAATATTGTGAATAAAATAAAACTAATCGAGATTCTAACACATAAGAGCACAATATTGTAGTGGTCTTGTGTGTGGCATTGGAATCAAGAGGTCACAGGTTCAATTCTCCATTGGTGCATAATTTTTTTATGACGGCCAAGTCAGCATGCCACGGTGGCATCAAATGGGGCAAAGAGGTGACGAATTTTAGATATCAACCGTGATGGTACATAAATTTTGTCACAAAATCTGGGCTCAAGGTTGGGCTTCAAAAAACTGTCACGGATCAAAACAATTCTTGTAGTGGTTTAATGTTTATTTAGAGAATTTAGATTTGAAACATTTCCTGAGAATCAGGATTCCTACCAACCATAAACCCCGCGTCGTTATTCACTTCTCTTCTTTCTTCTGGCAGCGTTGTGATTGTGACAAATGCTGTGATCGTTGAATTGGAACTGCCGAAACAATTAACCTGTAAATCTGGAATGCTTGTGAGATTGCCAAGTATATATTTACGAGGATTCGTAGACAAACCACTTGTATCCTTATTGCCAAGTATTCATTGCAAGACTAGAAACGAAGGCTAGTTTGCTGTAAGTTCTCGCTTAAGCACATACTGTAAATCTCAGAGGGCAGTCTGAGTTTCATCAGTCCACTTCTAAAAGGCATGCTTGCATGTGTCCAAAGCTTAGACTGCATCTTAAAAACGACGACCTATTCAATTTGCAATCCAGATGTGCCGCTCAACGATTAGCACTTTAAAATGCGCGTGTTCATTGCCGTTCCCCTTTTTTTTTCAAAATGTAGGATGTCTTAGTATTTGAAAAGGTCAACAATTTAAATTTGATTAGAATTACTCAAAATAAATGTAAATTTAGTGCACAAAAGATGCATCAATAGAATTATTTGACATATCTTTTTAGTAATATTCAATCTTATGTGAATTATTTTCTTGTAACTAATAGCATCTTGCAACAGAAATCAATGGTCCTTTACATACTTTCTCAAAACCTAATATTTCATAAAAAAGAGATGTAGTAACGGTAATTAACTAGTGGTGTTTCATGGACCACCTTTAAGGATTTATTTTTATTTTCTCGTTGTTTCATATTTTGTCACGACAAACAAATGTTCCTTGTAGTACCCTACTTGTTAGGAGCATGAAGTACTTGTGTAGTTGGCATATATGTAGATGGAGTTGGTGGGTTTCATATGACCTTGAAAGTTTAGGTGAGTGAAGGCTAGCATATAATCCTTATTGCATGATATATATAGCAAAATCGAGTTAATCATTTTACACGAAGCGAGAATAAAAGTATAAGAGAGACACTATATGTGTTGCATTATAAGAGTGGCACGTACAACCATATCACGTGGAGTGGTTCTAGGCATCAACCACCTATTTATGTAGTGAGCTGCTAAAAGCATCAACCTTTAAGGTTGGGAGAATGTTATACCCTAGCTCGTTACAATTCTAGAATTGTTCTTGAATTGCTTATATGTGGTTGTAGTTGGTAGATTTAGTACCTGTTAAAAGTTAATTTGTAGTTGTTATGTAGTTGGTATGTATATATAGCTGTATACACGCACGCATGACTAATCTCTCACCATTATTACTAGTCATTCTTGTCAACCGTGGTCATAGTATTTGGTGGCACATTTAGCAGTATACAGCAAGAAAGCGGCGATACCGTGCGACTAGGTTGGTGGGAAGCAATTATAATTTTGTTAAATAAGCAAGACCCTACTTTTGAGTTTTGTCGCTTCATAAATACTCACACGGCCAAATCAAATTTCTATTGCCTTAGAAGCTTTAATTCTCGATGCTAGCAAGTTTAAGGTTTGGTTCCATCTCTTTTTATCTGTCGTTCTCATTTTCCGAAAGATCAAACATACTCAACATTGACTAAAAATATATTAAAATATTAATATTTATAATACATAATTAATATAATTGGATAGATTTTTGAATCTATTTTTATAATAAATTTATTTGATGATACAAATATTGCTAATATTTTTTTTATAAATTTAGTTAAATTTTAAAAGGTTTGACCAACTCGACAGAGGGAGTACAGATGTAGTGACACCGGTAGATTGGTAGGAAGCAGCGCAATTGATTTTGTTAAATAAATAAGCATGACCTCACTTTTGTGCTCCATAAATACTCACTACTGTCAAGTCAAATCTCTATAAGCTTCAACAAGCTCATAGATAGATACGATAGCTCAACGTTAGCGCGGCGCCGCTCCACACTCACCGCCCGCATGGAGGTGGACCATGGCGCCGCCGGCAACGGCAACCATGTCCAACAAAGTCGTCGCAGCACGGCGGAGCTGTCATCGGGGCCGCCGCACAAGCCGCCGCTCGTGGACGACGACGGGCGGCCGCTCCGCACGGGCACGCTGTGGACAGCCAGCGCGCACATCATCACGGCGGTGATCGGCTCCGGCGTGCTCTCGCTGGCGTGGGGCGTCGCGCAGCTCGGGTGGGTGGGCGGCCCCGCCGCGATAGTGCTCTTCGGCGCCGTCATCTGCTACTCCTCCACGCTCCTCGCCGAGTGCTACCGCTCCGGCGACCCTGTGTTCGGCCCGCGCAACCGCACCTACATCGACGCCGTCCGCGCCACCCTAGGCGACTCCAAGGAGAGGCTCTGCGGCGCCATCCAGCTCTCCAACCTCTTCGGCATCGGCATCGGCGTCTCCATTGCTGCCTCCGTCAGCATGCAGTAAGTGGTGGTGACCAAAATCAAACCGCATCATATATTGGCGTATCCCATTTCCATCGTCAGCAAGTTCTTGGTTACATGCATGAGCAGGGCGATCAGGAGGGCGGGGTGCTTCCACTACCGAGGGCACGAGGACCCCTGCCACGCCTCCACCAGCCCGTACATCGCCATCTTCGGCGTGATGCAGATCGTCTTCTCGCAGATCCCCGACCTGGACAAGGTATGGTGGCTGTCCACTGTCGCCACCATCATGTCCTTCTCCTACTCCACCATCGGCATCTGCCTTGGTGTTGCCCAGATTGTAGGTACGCGTTCTTCCGATCCGTGCACGCACGTCCTGACACGTCGAAATCAGAAGAGACAAAATTGCTACCTTTGTTAACTACTGACTTCCTTCCGCATGAATGTAATTGCAGTACACCGAGGACCAAAGGGGAGCCTCGCCGGCGTCATCGGCGCCGGCGCCGGCGTGACGCTGATGCAGAAGGTGTGGCGCAGCCTGCAGGCGTTTGGGAACATCGCGTTCGCGTACGGTTTCTCTCTTATCCTGCTCGAGATCCAGGACACGATAAAGTCGCCGCCGCCGTCGGAGGCCAAAGTGATGAAGAAGGCGACGGCGGTGAGCGTGGCGGTGACGATGGTGATCTACCTGCTGTGCGGCTGCGTCGGGTACGCGGCGTTCGGCGGCGCGGCCCCCGACAACCTGCTGACGGGGTTCGGCTTCTACGAGCCCTTCTGGCTGCTGGACGTGGCGAACGCCTTCGTGGTGGTGCACCTGGTGGGCACCTACCAGGTCATGTCGCAGCCCGTCTTCGCCTACGTCGAGCGCCGCGCCGCCGCGGCGTGGCCTGGCAGCGCGCTGGTCCGCGCCAGGGACGTCAGGGTGGGGGGAGCCATGGCGTTCACCGTGAGCCCCATCCGGCTCGCGTGGCGCACGGCGTACGTGTGCGTCACCACGGCCGTGGCCATGCTGCTGCCCTTCTTCGGCTCCGTCGTGGGACTCATCGGCGCGCTGGGGTTCTGGCCGCTCACCGTCTACTTCCCCGTGGAGATGTACATAGCGCAGCGCCGGGTGCCGCGGGGAGCAGGCGGTGGATGCTCTTGCAGGGGCTCAGCGCCGGGTGCCTTGTTGTGTCCGTTGCTGCCGCGGCGGGGTCCATCGCCGGCGTCGTGGAAGACCTCAAGGCGCACAATCCCTTCTGCTGGTCGTGCTGACCGATCGAAGCAACTCTCTATCAGATTGTCAGGGAAGGTTCTGTGATCTCTCCGGCTATCTGATAATCCGAATCAGAACCGCGATCGAGAAACGCCTGTTGCACTGTACTGTCTTTTAGCTTTCTTCTCCAACGATTTGTATCGGAGCTGCAAGCAAGAAGATACTTGATTTGCAGTTCAATGCTCTAGTCGTTGCACTGCAATGTTTTTTAGTTAATCCTCAAAATGCACCGAAGCTGCTGCTTTGTTTCTCGCACATCAGCGCGCCGTCCTGTTGTCGGTACAAAAGGACACATCCACGCAGAAGCACAAAAAGAAACTAGGGACGCCAAAATCAAGCTACATAATTAAGACAAGAAGTCTCAAAGCCCAAATAGTTTTATGAGCCTTTTTACAGCTCATGAAAACTGATCTTAGTACCCTCAGAGGAAAAAGCCCTCTTCATAGACTTATCTTCGGCACTATCTACTACTGCTACCAAAAGCCAAATAAGCACTACAAATCTAAGTACATAGACCACGAATTTATCTTTATAATGTCAGCTCTTACCGAAACACACGATACTAGAGCATCTCTGAGAGACCCTTTATATCCTTTCTAATTCAAAGAGATATAGATTTTGGTAAAAAATGCTCTTCAGCCACCTCTTTAATTAGATCTCCAAATATACATATTTTATTCTGTATTTCTCACTTGTCAAAGATAGAGAGCGATGATGGCTCTATAAAGTGCGCACAAGATATGTCACAAAAAAGTGCCCACAAGATTTAGAAAACTATTGGAGTGTACAAAGATATAGAAAACTATTTTTACTCAAATGACTCTCCAAATGATAATTTATAAAGTAAATTTTGGAAAGACTTTTGGAGATGCTCTGAAATTGTTGGAGCTGCACAAAAGATAACTTGTTAAATACAAATTGCCTTTAGAGCATCTTTAAGAGCCTTTCTAAAATCTACTCTCTAAATCATCATTTGTAGAGTTATTTGAGTAAAAAATGTTTTCTATATCTTTGTATTATCCAACAACTTTTCTATATCTTGTGCGCAGTCTAGAGAGCCATCCTCACTCTCTATCTTTGGCTAGCAAAAATACGGAATAGAGAATATCTATATTTGGATATCCAATTGAAGAGGATGTTGGAGGATATTTTTCCACCAAAATCTATATTCCGGTAAATCGGGGAAGATATAAAGAGTCTCTTGGAGATGCTCTGATAGACTTGCACACGTGTGTAAACAAATCCATTCATATAATAGAGGAATATTATCCTTTTTCTAAGAAAATAAAGAAAATTTTGACAGATCAATTCGATATTATAAAAAAAATTATTCATGATCCATTTACATGGGTCCATGATGGCACGACAAGATCAACTTGTGCTCATCATCATTTTTTTACCATATTTTGGACACCCTAAGGTCAAGAACTTTTCCCTTTTTTTTGTTGAGGCCTAAGTGAAAAGTGGGCTCGAGAATAGGTTCTCAGGGAACGGATGGCACAGGTGCCAGAAGTACAGATGAGAATAGATGCAGTGCATGATTGCTCTATAGACTAACGAAAATAAATCGCAAAAAAGACTAACGAAAATAGCTCAGTAGAGGGAAACATCAGGAAAGAGATTTGGAGAGAGGTGATGATTTTGTTTTTCATAGTATATGCCGTAGTCAGCTCTTCCTCGAGAGCCGAATAACAGTTTAAGAACTGAAGGAAATCTGCAAAGTTGCCCATATCTATAATGATATAAAAAGCAACAAATTTCTTTTGTCCCCTCTCCCCCGTGCATCCATCCCATACTCTCATATATCTCTTATTACATTCCTCATCAGACTATAATCCCTCACACCCTTCTCACTCCAGCGGATGCCAAATATTAGATTTACAACCACTACTATAAAAACGATTTGTGTTGAGCCACCTCTATAAATGGTTGTCAAATGAGCCGCCCTTACAAATGGATTTGTAGGGGCGGCCGGTGTTATCAGCCGCCCCTACAAATGACCCGATTTATAGGGGCGGCTCTATATCCAGCCGTCCTTACAAATCAGATTTGTAGGGACGGCTCAATATTGAACTGTCCCTACAAACAGTAAAAATAAAAGTTGTAGATCTTGAAAAGTTATGAAACTTTGTAGTTGATAACTTTCTCATTTGAAATCATCTTGTCATAGAAAACTACATTCAAATTTCTCAAATTTGAAATTCAAATTTTATAAGTGACATCGGATGGAGAAACTACCAAAATGAAAGTTGTAGATCTCAAAAAGTTATAAAACTTTGTAATTGACAACTTTTTCATTAAAATTAGTTTAGGGCCTCAAACAATCAATTTATGCTCAGTTTTGTATAATATGTGGGGAACCAAAATAGACTATAGATACAAGTGATCGTGAGGTGCAGTGGTAGAGGAGTTTACGCGCGAGGGAGAAGTTGCGGGTTCGAATCCCGATCGACGTGAAGTGTGCAAAAATCGTGAAAAAATGCTGTAACCATAGAGTGGGTGTGTGGCTGCCGGTAGGAACCTCCTCGGATTAAAAAAAATTGCTATTTTTTGCCCATTTTTTCGTGATTTCTGGAAATTGATTTGTCGGGTGGCTCAATATAGGGGCGGCTGATAACATCAGCCGTCTCTATAAATCAATTTGTAGGGGCGATCTGGAAACCGTCTCTACAAATATATGATTTGTAGAGACGCTTGGGTAGGGGCGGCTAGGCAAACCGCCCCTACAAATATTATATGACGTAGTGAACAGGAGTTTGAAGTCCAACAGAAATAGAATCTATATTCTTCTCCAGTAAACATCGATTACTGTATAGAGCTGCAAAACCTTTTATTGACGTTATACCACTCATGTCATGACCTGGCCCCTAAATCTAAAGCTGTATGCGTTGCGAGTCATCAAATGCACGATCATGTGTCTTGCCTTCCACATTTCTTAACTCAAAAATAGGTGCCCACATTAGCCATTCATTTAAAACCACTACCAGAAAATCAAGATTTCATGAGGATAAATTTTTTTCATAAGAATTACAAACACATTCATAAAATAATTTATTTCATGAGGGTGATAATAAAACCTCCAGATAAATGTTGAATATTTAGTCAACGTGCTTTAATCGGAAATGATACATAGCATGAACAATCCATTCACCGCGTATGCAGATTTGCTACCGAACAAGGTAAAAGTAGATCCTACTACAAGTCAAGGTTTTAAATCTCTGACTGTAGCTGCAGCTATAGCGGAGATAGCGCTGCTAGGGAAGACAACAGCTAGGAGAATCAACTTTTAGTTTTAGCGCTAAGTGATCATAGACGCTAATATAGCTGTATTTAGCTGGAGATACCGCTAAATGGACCTTGATTTAGCCGGAGATAGTTGTATTTGGACGGCACAATATCGCACAGCCATCCGCCCAAATGACACTAGCCCTTAGCCGTTGGCTCTCTCTCCCACTTGGCTCTCTTCTCTCCCAATCCTCTCGACTGACAGAACAGGATATGGTGGCGACGCCCATTCTGGATCCCCAAAGTGGTGGTAGCACGGCGGTGCGCGACCCGCTCCTCTTCCTCTTCCCCAAGTGGCGGGCGCCCCTCCTCTTCCTCTCCCCCAAGCAACGGTGCGACGGCAGCAAGTGATAGAGGTGGCTTGGGCGAAGGCTGTGCCACGGTACCATTGAAACTCCAAGTTCTGTTCCTACATAAGCAGCATGACTAATGGCATATATCATGGCAAAGCAATTTGCTAGCAAGTTTCTTCTCCGCTCATCACTTGCAATCTCATCTTGTGCTTGTACCTTGTAGACATATTCAGTAATGATTTAAGATCATCTTGTGCCTGTACTTCTATAAATTGTTGGTTATGAATCAATTAGTATTTAGTAATGGTTATCAATTAGTAATAGTTATCAGGTTATTTCAAGTTTCTGTGTATTTTTCTGATTTTGGCAAAAACAACTAAATCGCTTAGCCGCAGCTATCTCCGGCTATAGCTGAGCTAAGAGGCATAGCCAAATATTTAAAACCTTGCTACAGATTCACAGCGCACAACAACATATGCGCCAAAGTTGAGTTCAGACTATGCGCTTGGGTGGAACCCAAGCCGGAGACAGTAGGAACAACGTTACCATCAGACTTGGTCATGATGGCCTGCTTGAAGTAGTTGATCTAGGCGCAACATAGAAAGAGATTCGCAGTGCAGTCCCTCGAGTGGTCGCCGGGAAGTAGTTGTTTGCTCGATGAAGCCCGCGGTTGCTGGATCGAACTCGTCGGACTGGAGGAAGAGCAGTCGCGCTCCCAAAAAAACCTTTATGGCAAGCTTGATCGCCTTCCCGATCAGTGCATGCTTCCACATTTCACGAGTCATCAAATGTAGCAGCCGGCGGAGGCAGAAGCACTGTTGAGAGTAGATCGGGAGTCGGGCTAAGTTTTTTTTGAGCAGAATACACCTTTATTATTCTTCATAAGAAGTACAGACGCCATCAGACGGAGATACAAACTAAACATGTCTCCCTAAATTAGCATAGATACAACTCCTAGCAAGATTATGGGCATCAACATTTGATCGTCTCCCCTCATGGAAACTCAACAATTCTGAAATCATTCGATCTAGCTCTAATTTCTTGGACAATGTGCCCATAAGAGCCCATACTACCTTCACTTATGCTTGCAACAACTCCAGCATTGTCACATGCCACTCTGAAGTCCTGAAGTAGCAAGTCGCTAGCAAGAGCTAGGCCTTCTTTACATGATATCGCCTCCACCGTCTCTGGCTCCAAGCTTCCTTCCATCACCATCGCCGAGGCCCTCAGGAAGCGTCCAGCAGAGTCGCGTGCAACAGCTGCAGCAATGACAGTTCCTGAGTTCTTAGCCAAGGCTGCATCAATGTTAATCTTCATTAGCCCCGTTGGGGGAGGAATCCAGCAAGTGTTGCTGCTCTGAACAACGGGCCGATCCTTCACTTTTGGTTGCACCAATTGGAGATCAGCCACAAAACTAGTGACAAAATTATGAGTCGAGAGCGGGCTTTGATAAATATCTTCATGAATAGCTTTCCTTCTAGCATACCAAATAGCCCAAAGGGTCACGGTGACCCGGACTAGGTCCTCATGCTCCAAAGATTTCATCACTGCTGCCAACCAGCCCTTTGCATCCTGATCGTCAATACGACAAATGTGCTCAGTTATCTCATCCTTCTCCAGCGCCCAGACACAGCGAGCCATATTACACTCAAGGAGAGAGTGCTGCCATGAATCTCCAGCGCCACCGATGGAGCACACACTGCTATCAGACATGTTCCTGTGGAGGAGAACATCTTTTGATGGGAGAGAACACCTAGCAAGTCTCCACAAAAACACCCGCACTTTGGAGGGAACTTTGATTCCCCACAACATAGACCACTCCTTCTGCACAGCCTGTCTGTTCGAGGCACCCGCCGATCCAGCTAGAGACTTACGGTGTGCAAGCATTCTATATGCCGAATGGACCGAGAAGAGACCACGCTTCTCAAAGTGCCAGGCCTAGAAATCCTGTTGTCGCCTTGTACTGAGTGGGATACTTGTGATCACAGCCACATCCGTCGGTATAAAGAATTCCATTAGCTTCTCCCGATCCCGGGGACGCCGATGTTGAGTCTATAAGTTCACCGACCAATTGAGGAGGGTCAACCCGATTGGTGGGAACTGGCCTCCTCAATCCGATTGCGGTAGCCAATCCATCGACCAAATGCTGGTCGTTTCTCCTGCCCTTATTCGCCTTATCAGGCCTCCCTTCAACACCTCTCGGCCTTCAAGAACTGAGCGCCAAATACGAGAGGGTGATGATCCGATCTCAGCTGCCAGAAAGTCTTTGTCTCGGAAGTAGACCGATTTTAACACCCTGGCACTCAGCGAGCTACCATCCTGTAAAATCCTCCATGCTTGTTTCGCTAAGAGTGCAAGGTTGAACAATTCCATGTCTCTAAAACCAAGACTACCGAGGCCCTTTGGTTGAGTCATGTCATCCCACGCCACCCAACATGTCTTCCGCTTACCGTCTTTGCACCCCCACCAAAATTTGCGCAACAAACCATCTATATGTTGGCACAGTGATTTGAGCAACTGATTTGATGAGAACCTCTTTCCCACCAGCTGAAAGGCATTGATCCATCCATCCTTGAACTCTGTCCCAAACCCGATCCTTTAAATATTTGAAAGCTCCATTTATCGATGAGCCCACATCTGATGTCATGCCTAAATATTTCTCCTTCAATGTTTCGGTCTGTACCTCAAGAATATCCTTGATATCTTCCCTCAAGCTTTGGCTGCAACCCTTAGCAAAATGGATTGAGGATTTTTCGATATTAATTTGCTGGGCCTGAAGCTTGACAGTAAATGCTCAACACATCCTTCACTTGCCTTGAGCACTCGCCCCATCCGCCTTTGAAAAAGCGGGGCTATCATCGCAAAGAGTAGGTGGTTAACCGTCGAGCTGACGGTGCCACCCTAATGCCATTGAGCACTGATGATTGATTCCTTGATTTTAAGAGGCACGAAGACCATCTGCTGCTAACAAGAAAAGATACGGTGAAATCGGGTCGCCTTGTCTAATTCCTCGTGTCGGCAATAAAAGATTCCAGGCAGTCACCATTGAGCTGAACTGAGAACGAAACTGATGTGACCAGCTTCATAATCATCTCCACCCAGATCTGATGAAAGCCCAGCCAAAGCATAATTGCTCTCAAGTATGGCCACTCGACCCGGTCATACGCCTTCCGCATGTCTAGCTTGAGTGCACAGCATCTCTGATCCCTGGCCCGTTTCTTTTTCATAAAGTGTAAACACTCATATGCAGTGATTATGTTGTCTGTGATCATCCGGCCTGGTACAAAAGCCGATTGCTCTTCTAAAATTATCTCAGGTAAGATCACCTTCAGTCTATTTGCCACAGCCTTGGAAGTAATTTTATAAATTACATTGCACAGACTGATGGGACGGAACTGACTTAGATCCTCCGGATTATCAACTTTCGGTATCAACACTAGGATCGTGTCATTGATCAACTTAGGATCATCATCCCCTTGCAGTATCCGCAGTACCGCCGAGGTCACCTGTGTTCCACAATACGCTCCTTGATTTTCAGCTCAGCATGAGATGGTCCAACTCTACGCGGGTCTGACTGTAGCCGCTCCAACTCGGCTGCTAACTTGCGAAGCTCCCAGCGCACATTACCGAAAGACAATCGCTCCCAGTAAGCGCAACTGACCGCTGACATCCTTCAGCTTGCGCTGTAAATCAAACCGTTGATGACTCCGGCCGCCCCCATGCATCCGCCAATGTGGGTGAGAAATTTTCATGGGTTTCCCACATGACCTCATACTTGAAGTTCTTCTTTCTTGTGCTTCTTGGCTCATCCGACCTCCAAGTCGAGTAATTGGGACATGGTCCTAAAGCGGCCGCTATAAGGTGCGAACCTTGGCAAGAGGATAACGCATGGTCCAATCAGCGGTGGCGATGCTCTATCCAAAGCGAACCCGATAGAAAGATCCGCGGTAACCTTCTTTTCATACATCCACTTTCTTCCTTCAAAACCTAAGTCCGCCCAAACACACACATCAATGGCTTCCTGAAGCCCTCCATTTGGGCATTGCTTCGCTCCCTGCACAACCGACATGTTCAGATCTCACGAGGACTTCGTTGAAGTCACCTATACATACCCAGGGAAGAGGAGACAAAGATTTGATGAATTTGATAAATCCCACATCTTATACCTCTCGCTAGTCCTTGCTTCCCCATACACACAAGTTAATCTCCATGGCTCTAGATCTCCTCTTGAACAATGGCATAAATATGATACTGTGAGTACGGTAAAATCTGATTAATATTATTCTTCCAAAAAATTCCTAGGCCACCATCATGTCCGAACTGCTTACTGACAAAAGCAAAATCAAAACCTAACGTGGACTTTAGTTGCTCCACCCTCACCTTGTGTACTTGAGTCTCCTGGACACATAGGGATGAAGGGCAACCTGCCCCACCAAATCGCGAAGGTTGTTTCCTTTGTTCTTGGCGTTGCCAAGTCCACGACAGTTCCAACTTAAGCAACTCATTGGGGATGGCGGCACTCCTCGAGGTAGCCCGCCCCATCAATGTCCTTTGCACTCGTCGCTTTCTTCTCCTCTGTCCTCTTTGCACGCTTGATTTCCCTTGGCGATTTATATTCCGGGGGGTGGGGTGGGGGTAGGTGGTTCCTCCCCACGCTTTTGCTGTCTTGACTTTGTCTTGGCAGGGCTCGAGGCCATGTCATCCAGCTCCTTGTCATCTTTGTTATCATCACCGACGTCTACCGAGGTTCGTTTCCTGGAACCTGATTCAGATGTCGTAGTCGCCTTCGCTTTCCACATGGGACCGCGGCCACCACGCCCACTGACCTGACCATGTCCACCCCGTGTTGGTTTCACACCACCACGTCCGCCGCCATCCCTCGGCATCTCCCGATCACCTGGCGCTGAGGATCGGAACCTCGGCGTGCCAGGGTGCCAAGATTCCGCATCAGCAACCATCCACGATCCAAACTGAAGATCCTTCTCCGTGTACTCCCGAGCGCCACACTCGAGATGAACGTGTCCCATCAGCCCGCAGTGGGCGCAAAACCGAGGAAGCTTCTCATACTTCACTTGGAGCAAAATCTTGGCCTGTCCCTCGGGAGCAAGGGTCACCACCCGAATTAGGGGTTTTGCAGCAGCAAGCTTCACCCGGACTCGATGGAAGTCCCCGGTCCTCGATGCAATTGCCTTCATCTCTATCTCCTGCACCTCCCCCACCTTCGCAGCAAGTTGTTTCACAATGGCTTCGGTGCGAAAAAGATGAGGGATCTTGTGAATTTGGATCCAACCAAGCACCTTACTTGGCATCTCGCTGGGGATTGTTGTCGATCCGTCGAGCTCCTCAAGCATCAATGCGTATCCCCTGAAAATTCAGGGGCCGTCCTCCATAATACGCTTCCAGTCCCCCAGGCAGAACGCCTGGACAACCAACAGATTCTTGCCAATTGACCGAAAGGTCACTTCCCTGGCTGGGTTCCACGCCGAACGCATGGTGGACACCATCGAGGTCACGCTGAACTCCTTTGCTGTGAGGAGTTTTGCCGCCGCCATCCACTTCACTGCAGGGAGGTTCTCCCGGTCCTCTTTTGCCAGCACCACGCCGTCCTTCTCTTCCTCACTCAACTGGAGCATCTTGAGCAACTCGTCCACCTCCATCTCAGCCCTCTTCTCCCCGGCCTTCGAACTCTGCCGCCACGGATCAAACCTCCACACAGACCTCGCATGAACCTGCACAGGAACGATGCGCCAAGGCCGGGTAGGTGAGCAAAGTCACCCCCTTGGTCAGCCCGAACACACCGCCCCTGGGGAGCGCACGAGATCGAAAGGAGGAGGTCGGAATCCCTCGCCGTCGAGGTCGCCTAACCCTAGGAAAGCCCCAGGTCCGTCCTATTTCCGAGTCTGGGGAGTCGGGCTAAGGTAGAAAGGACAGCATCGGGTGGCGCTGAAGCTTTACTTTCCTGGGCTCAGTTGGGCTGTAGAGAAGACCTATAATTGAATATTTTTGGATCGCGCCTTGGGCTGCAGGCACCCCAGCCCAGGGCCCAAGTCCGCCCCTGATGGGTGGCGTGGCTCCAGTCCCAACCCCTGTTAGTAGTTGATATTTTTTCATAATTCTCAAAAAAAAATAAAGTTGATATTTTTTGACGCCTTCTCATAAAAAAGTTGATATTATTTAACGTTTCTCAAAAGAAAAAAAATAAAAAGTTGATATTGTTTGACATCACAACTGTAGATGCAACAAAATAGATGCTCTTGAAAGTAAATACTAAAAGTACAACAAAAAGGGAAACAATCACATGCATGTTCAGTGTATTTCAGTTTTTAATCTCCCTTGCAGAATTCAATTTTGAATGGGTGATTGCAATCAGACAAGTGTGTATGGTCCAGAAACCTAGATATCAGTAACAAGGTACTCCTAATTGACTAGCAAACTCTGTGCTCAATAATCAATGCAACAGCATGGAAATTTCTGTTATCGCTGAAAAATCGCAGTCGTCCCATGTGTTCACAATTTAAGAAACCACATGAATACATTCCTATTTTTCTCAAGCCACAGTTTAGAAGTCAGAACTGTACCACAGACTACTTGGTATTTCATTGGCAAGCAAAAATGCACTCATCAGCAGTTAAAAGAGAGCATGCAGAGGGCTGGTTTTATCCAGCTATTAGTTATTTATAGCATGTTTGGTTGGAAGCCTGGATGACTTGCATAGTAAAAAGTGTTGCTGGAAATTTGAAAATTTTTGCCTGGCCAGGCAAGCTGGAAGTTGATTGTTTGGTTGGAAGCTTTGGCTGAAAAAGCTAACAAATAAATAATGAATGTTTTCTTGTCTAATGAAGAAGCAATCAATTTATTTTCTTAATCAGAAATACCTTAACTAGACACACGAATAAACATATGGTAATAAAATAAAATAGATAGAGTGCATTTTTTCTTACTTTACATATGATTAAAATTAACAATTTAGAAAAACTATTTTATAAAGGTTAATATTATGCTTTACCAATTTAAATTCAGTGAGCTATAAGAAAGGTCAGTTCTACAGTTACTTTACTGTTAATGAAATTAACTATGATAATGTCAAAATGTAAATTAATACGGAGAAACAAATGCACCAACGTTGTGCTTTTGAGGACCATATAGGAAATAATTAATCACAGTTAAATGCTTCAGGCAGCGTCGCCCCCAGCCAGACCTGGACAGCGTTGCCTGGGCTGGCACCATCTCTCAGTCCATCAACCAAACGAATCACAGGCAGGTTCCAGGAACCTCTTCGCCCAGGCAGTTTGGTTCCACGTAGGAAACAAACAGGCCCTTAGGTAGTGCCACTACTGAATCATATGAACTAAGGGCTTGTTTGGTTCAAAGCCTCGACCAAATTTGCCTAGGTGAAGAGGTGCCTGGTGCTGTCTATCTCAATATACTGATATATAACTGATGGGCCAGGCAGGGGCAGCCTCAGCGAGGCGACCGAAAACGAGCGCCTAGGTGCAGCGCCGATGTTGCCTGGGTGGGCTACTGTAGTGCTGTCTTGTTAGTGCTTTTTTCTCCTTTATTTATATTATTACTTTGTCGTACGCTATAGTTCCTTGATGAAATGAGTGAAACTCTTATTTCTATTTCCTATTGTTCATCTGTGATAGGTGCAACCGAGATACATTTAGTACATTTTATTCTGTTTATTCCTTAATCATATGAATGAATTATTAGGAAAATAAAATATTAAAAGTATTTATATTTATATTACTTTATTAAAGGTTTTCTTTATGTTATTTTTGTATTATAATAATATATATTACTCGAATGATGCTAAAGTTTTATATAGAAGAAAATATATTTTCTTTTTATTAAACTTCTAGGGCATATTCTATTTCTTTTTCACAACCATGTGTAAAAACTTTTTGTATATTTTATATAATTTTTCAAATCCAGATTATGATTTCTTATATTGATTACTTATTTTTTATTTATCCTCACATTATTTCGTCAAAAGTATTAAAATCATATATTATACTAAAAGACATAATTTATCAATATATTTCCTATTTAATCTTATTAAGCGTGATTATCTAATATTAAACACGTGACAACAATTTACTAAATTATATATTTTGGTTAATCAGTTATAAAATACATATTAACTATACAAAGATAAATAAAAACACATTAATTTAAGCATATTATAAATTAAGAAAACTCACTTATACATTTTTTGTTTTGTCACCGTATGTTTATTTGTGTATATTTGATGTATTATTAATTAAGAAAATTAATTAATTACCTTTCTAGCAAAGAAGAAAACACATGATCTATATTCATTAGTTTTCTTGGGCCAGACATCTAACCAAATCGAATAACTCTCTAACTTGCACGGCGGCTGCATGATTCTCTCGAAATTCGAGGCAACTCTCATGCAACACTTTTCTCTAGGCAAGTCATCCGGGCTTCCAACCAAACATGCCCCTAATAGGTGGAGCTATGTCCTTGCACGCAACTACAAACTTTGTTCGGTTGGTGGTTCGTATCGTTCTTTGGATTCGTTTATGTGAGAGAAATACTGCTATTTGGTTTAGATGAACAATGTTTTTATGAGGGGGCTGGCCAACTTTAGCCATTGACCAATTAACACGCTGTACATGGATGACACCTATGAAGCAATCACTCACAATTGCAGTTCAATATACATCAAATGTGCATCAAAGGCACAAAGCAGCTAAGCATGCCAGAGATGAAACGCTTTCCTAGTGGCGTATGGGTAGACGAGGTGACATGCTATCTCTTCATGGCCTTGTATAATACAATTTAGGCTCCTTTGAATTCTCAAGCCACAGGCTGGCACTGGTTACACTAAATTGAACACGCTCAATACACTAGATCTACGGCTACAGGACGGTATGACTGCTTGATTTATTTGTCCAAAATGCAAAGGGTTTCTTTGGGAATTATTGCATTCATTTGACAGGCTCTGTCAATATTTCAAGAAAATGCACCAGTAATTTCTTAGCAACATTGTTTGAAGCCACGGGATAGACCCAACCGAAACTAGCAGAGCAAAGATATGTCTACTCAAGAAGAATGGAACCCATATGAGCCCATTCCATAAGTTCCTCTGAGCCCATATCTTTTTTTTTTCTGAGACTCCACTCAACACAAACAGGGACCAAGTTTTTTGGGCAGGGCCAAATTTCGGCTTTGCCTGTTAATTAGGGGCCAGCAAGCAAATGAGGCCCATGGGTCATATATGGATCTAAAGTAAATGAGGCCCATCGCCTCATCCATACCTATATACATACAAGAAATGAAGTTCAGAATGAGGTATCCTAGAACAAGGCAATGTGACTGACAGGTTCAGAAATCAGAACATTATATATGTATGCATGTATGAGCTAGCTAGCTTCACTTTAGCAAAAGACTTGTTCCTCAGTGCTGCATGCATGCCCAAAGGTCAGATTTAATTGTTGGAGGTTTTACGCATACACACTTTGTGGCCAAAGATTCCACTCGTGCATGCTCTTGTTCCGACAAGCTTTGGAGCCGCGTGATTAGGTTACATTTGTTTTTCTAGCACAGATTAAAGATGGCGGCGGCTCCGTGTCACACCAAAAAGCGATCATATATACGTGCTCCTTCTGTACACGACAACAAGCAAACATACTTAAATCAAGCATATATCACAATCATAGTTATGCAGCTACTTAGGCCAGCAATTTTAAATTTCTACAATATAATCAATATATATTGTAATATCTATCTAGCTAGTTTTACTAGGTAGCCACTCCTGGTCTGTGCCACATCCTTTAAATGGTCTCTGAACGCATGCACTGGCCAAAACTTCACAAATGATAACTATACATATACTACATTGAAAATCTTTTTAAAAAATCAACATAAATTAGCTTAATTAGCACTTGGGTTACATTTGAGTCATCAAGGCTTTGTTAGATGCATACCATGTCAGACCATTCTTGTTCCTCCCCGTCCTTCCCTGGCCAACCGCCATCTTCCTTCTCCTGCAGCTGGTGGTAATTCCCTGCCGCCTCGACGTTCTGCGCCCGCCTCAACTTGGTCAGGCTATAATTTATACTGCAAACATTAGTGTAGACAACTCTAATTACAACCAGCTCAAAAAATGTATTTTTAGAGGCAGCTAGAAATCTCAGTCGTCTCTAAAAACGGACGACATCAGCTGCCTCTAGAAATTGGTTTTTTCAGAGGTGACAGGGAAAACAACCATGTCGAAAAATATATTTCTAAAGGTGGCTCAGTTAGTAGGAATCGATGAAAACATATGTAAAGACGGTTGTTAACTAAGCCACCTCTGCCCTAAAAAGACTTAAATCGCTGAAAATAGTTTGGCCTTGTTCGTTTGTCTTATAATCCGTATTTTTCAACTTGTTTTTTTAGTCGGAACAGTTGTGTTTTCTCTCACAACAAATTAGCGGAACAATGTTTTAAACATTTTTCAAGCAATGAACAGGGCCTTTGTGTTTTAGTTCTCCTCCCAGAGCGGAAACCCTTCTCACTAAATCGTCTTAGAGCTCTTCAAGATTTCAAATGACTGAAATCTAGAAGGTGTGCATAAAGGTAATATGGAAAGCATTCCATCTCCATATGTGGCTCTGTTGCTGCTTTAACACCACAAGCAACAACCCAA